AAAATCTACAGTATACATCCAGAAAATTGTAGGACAGGAAGACGACATTAAAGCAATATTTAAGCGTTTTTGATGTAGTGACAAAGCAACCAGTTTCACTGCATAGCCTTTAAATCCTTTATTATGTGAAATGGGTCTTGCACAATTGCTGTCTTATTTCCATTGTACTATTTAAGAACATAACTTGAAGCTAAAATTCGTCTTCCCATTCCACAGTATTCTGGTTCTCACTGTAATATTTCCTTGATATACCAATCTGAGAAAAGGTTTCTAAAGCTGTCATGATTTATTCTCTAGAATCCTGAATATGAAGATAGGGTTCCGTCCAGTAGAGTTAGGGAGTCTTGTAATCTAGTTTGTAGTCTGGCAATTTAGGTATACTTAAGGGAGTAGGCTGAAGCAGATAACCTAATAATATAGATCATAGGAATAGGCTGAAGAAGAACTTTAATCTCAAGATTATTATTTCTTTCTTGAGCTGATACTTATTTAATTGGTGAGAGATTTGGTTTATAACTTTATATCCTCAAGCTTTCCCGTTTCAAACTTGGCAAGTTTTTTTCAACATTTTTTCGGACCTTTTTCAAATTGCTTCATATAGCTCAGATATCCATTCAATAAGCCAAGATTATTTTGGTAAAAAGTCAATGTTTCAATGTTTTTGTGAGAAAATCCCGGGAATAAGGAAATGGTCACAATAAATCTAGATTGGCCTCTGAGTTTTAATTTTTCAGATCTTTGAAAATGTTTGCATATAGCTGCTTTGGTCAGGAACGTATAATACTTCAGGGTTCATCCAAGGTTTTTTTTTGAAGCAGGTCTGGTTGAAAGAAAAGATTTTTTAAAAGTGGCAGAAATCCCTCCCCCTTTCACAAATAACAACGAACTATTGGTTTTGAATGTGGGGGGAGGGGGTTCAAAATGTTTTTGGAAATCAATCCTTATTACTCAATTTTAGACACATTGACAACAAGCCAATAGATTAAGGGAAAAGGGCACATTTCTTTATTCCAATAATAAGGTTTTCCAGTTTAAGAAGGTTTAAAACTCAAGATTAGAAGTACAGTCCCGTGTAGGTATTTACCAAGATGATTTTTGCATATAGGAGGGGATGGCGAAACTTTTTTGTTATCTCAAAAATTTAAGATTTATAAATCAAGTTAAAAATCTGATATAATCTTGTTAAACACTCCATTTTATTTAAAATAGATATTTTGTTTTAAAGCAGGTCTTCATTCTCTTACAAGCTATTGAGAAGATAAACATTATGTGCACCAACCCCCCATTAAGATTTTGCAGTTTGATAAGCTGTTTGCGACATAGTTTATGAGATTTGATTGCATTTGTGGCATTTTTTGTGGTAGAATTTGGATACTGTTAGTGGCACATTTTCTGAGCATTGATTGTATGTGTGGCAGACTTTAAGTTACTTTGTTTAGCAGTGAAATATTTTTGTGGCAGATTTTATTCAATTAGAATATGTTAGTGGCAGATTTTCTGAGCTTCAATTGCACATGTGTCAGCTTTTATGTAACAAGACATTCTTTGTGGTAAACTTTATGGCAGATTTTTCATTAAATAATAATAATGTTACCAACTGAATATCTCCATTGGCATTTTTGGTTAAAATTGGTATTTACTTCTATTACCTGGTAGACTTGGTAGATATGTTCTCTCTAAATTGTCTCCTAAAATGGCAGAAATTTGCAGTTGTTTTCGAAATCTGAAAGTTGACCCAATTTTGCTCTAGGAGGAACTTTGGTATACTAATTAATATATTTAGTCAAGGGGGGGGGGGGGTTGCTTGCATTTAAATACTTGCTCAAAGCAGCTGTATGGTAATCTGCTGACAGAATGAATTTAAACCAGCATCATTGCTCAAATTTGGACGTTCCAATGTAGACTTAAACTATGTGAGGTGCCTTGATCTGGAAAATATTTTTTTTTCTTAGATCATCCTGTCCAAATATTAGAAATTCAAGAAAAAAGATAGTTTTTTGGTACATTGTTGATGTTCAATTTTTCATTTCCCCCGACTTCAGGGGGGGGGGGTGGATTGTTCTTCAAATACCATGAACTGTGTAAAGATAGACTACAGCACTGCTAAGAGAAATTAGTTAAACGATTATTTCTCACTTAGTCAGCAACAAGGATTAGAGATGAATTACAATGTGGGGGGAATATTATAGCCTTGGCTAGAATTATTAAGAACACTAATAGCTATAGAATATTAATTATACTGGTAGCCAAGACAATTAATACAAGACGATATTCATTTGTATTCTGCATCAAAAATTTGGAATCATACATTGTTTAGTCTTTTTCTCTGTTTTAAGAACTAATCTGGCCATATTGCCATACATTTTGTGCAGGAAATTATGCTCTTTGCATTACTTCCACTTCAAATAACGCCAACAATCCCTTTTTAAACTAGCTTTTTTTCTTGCAGGTTTACTTTTCTCTGAGTTTGCCTATTCCAGACCATTCTCCTGGTCAATGTCTTGTTATCTTTGATGTTCTCCTAAATCCTCAAGCCAAATTATGCTATTTTATATTACATTCTGGGAAGGAGGGAGAACATCTCCTTGTATATTTAAAGATGAAAAGAGCTCAACTGGTAATTTATTCCACATACAAACTTTCTTGGGTGCTCTGCTCCGACTTCTCTCAAATATCCTCGTTTAACTTGAAAAATTTAAATTCACAAATAAGATGGCTTTATTTGTCCTCATTCTGAATTCAAATAAGGGTTGAAAAATTTCTTCAAAATATTTATATTTTGAATATGAGCTTTTAGGTTATATTTATACATACCTTCATTTTTTTCATATACTTGTTTGAAAAATAAAAACATTTAGCTTTGACTGAAGTATTTTGAAAAATTTACACCACCTTTTCTTCTAATTACCTCTTTTTTCCGCCCTTGGAAATAGGATGTGACAATTTTGATAACTGCATGCATGCATGAACTTACAGTTTTAATTATTAACCACAGATTTGGATTCCTTCCAAAATCATTCAGAGGTTGATAAAATTAAATTGAGAAATGTTAAAAAATTTACGCCCCTCTCACTGGGCTCTTTCGTCTTTATTTTACTCATAGAAAATGTTATCAGGGGTATACATAATGATTTTGATGCTCTGCACTGGGGAGAAAAAAAAATTGGACATCCTTTTTCATCTTTTTAAAAACTTTTTACCTAAAAATTCATTTATTTCAACTTGTAAACAAACAAAAAACATGAATAATAAGATGATGCATAAAAGAAGAAATCTGGGGAAAATATGATTTTCTAAGAGGGTTGATTATTAAAGATAATTAACAACCCCTGTGTAATTAACCTTGATAAATCTGCAAGATTTCTAGTTGTACAAAAAATGTAAAAATGTCCATCCTGAAAATGTTGAAGCTTATGTAGGAAAGTTTGTTGAGGTGGAAAGGTTGTTGAGAGTATATTAGCATATTCACTTTATATTGAAATCCTTCCCTCGCTAAACTTATTGCATTGTATTGAAATCAAAACCTTCTGGGATCAGCTCAATATTATCTAGAATATTTGGATCAACTAACTTTTCCTTCATCTCCACCTGAAAAATATAGTTTATTAAGTTTTTTCTAAAAATTTGGAAAAGAGTAATAATTTACACCTGAACAGTTAAGAAATGCAATGAGTTAATTATTTAAGTAAGATTGGGTGCTTGTAGAGTAGGATATATAAAGAGAAGGGTTGGATGGCTGAAAATAAAATTATTTAAGAGCATAATTTTGTTGCATACAATAATTTCTCCTAATATACTATGAGAAAGCTTCTAATGCTTGTGGAACGTGAATGACACCCTCAAACTATTTGTACATTGTCTAGTCGCTAATCCGTAAGACAACACATTAATCTACAGATTATTTGCAGATTTTAGAATTGTTAGACAATTGTCAGTTTTTCAGTTCATTTCTAGATTCTTCCTTACTATTTCTCAAACTTTGTTGAAAAATATGTAGTGGGCCAAAACCTAATTTTCCCTTCCATTCATTACTTTAATGAAGTTAGGTATTTCATTTTTTAAGTTTTTCTCTTGAGGTTTTAAACACAGAACTTGTAAACATTAGAATTCTTTTTATAGAAAGAGTTTGTGAAAACTTTATTTTCATTCAAGCCAGGCCACTGGGCCTAAATTAGGGCTGGGCAAAGGGTTGATAAGGAAACAAAAGTTTTTAAAATTTAACAGTTCAAGTCAGGTAACAAAAGTCAAAAACCATTAACTTATAGACTGTTAACTAACAGAAAAAGCTGTTTTTGAAGAAAAAAACAATTGAATAAAATCTTGCGGATGTGTATAACAGACTTTCCTTCTTTTTTTGCTTAAAATTGAATGAAACTTGCAGAAATTAAAAAATATTTTGTTATGTATATGATGATTTATAATGCCGTCTTCTGTCTTTTTCTCGCTCAAATTATAGAATTTTTTGTATTTTCATGTTTCTTTGGGTTTTTGATGTTGTTAAATATTGTATGTGTTTTTTTTTGCATGTTTTTTCTCATGAAATAATCGTTCAAGGCTGGCACCTCAGTAAACAATTCCTAAGATATTTTCCGCTAACTCCCGCTAAGGAATGGTAACTTTTAAGAAAAACGGGAAATACAGTCAACGAAACAAACATTTCATTCTCAGCTAAAAAAACTAATAGTTACCTGGATTATTTTAGGTTTTTATTAACTGTTAACAAACTGTTAGAAAAAGTCAGAATGTGCCCAGCCCTAGGCCTAATCAGAGTCCAATTGTATCCTAACTGATTGCGGGTAAATATCTAACCAACTTTCATCTCGAGGCAGAGCTGGTAGAATTTATAAGATTCTTGGCAATAAAAAGCAGACAGTAAAGTTCCACAATATTGTTCATTTTACAGATCTTTAACACTGCCTACAGGATAAATGCTCTCTTTTTAGTCAACTTTTAACTTAAAATTTGTATTTTAGTTCTAATTGTCTTGAAAGAGAGAACTTTATTTAACTGTTAATATTTCAGAGAAAACGTAATATTTCAGAAAAATCTCACACACAAGATCATATTTCTTCTGTAGAATATTTTGCAGGTGAGGTAATGATATAAGCTAAAAGAATTTTCCGGGATAATGAATAAGGAAAAATGAAAATAAACTGGAAAAGGTAGAACAAAGCATCAAAGAAAAGCTAGAAAGTAAGAATGAAATTAATTTAATGAAAAGACATCATAGGTTTGGTAGAAAATGGATAGACACTAGACACAGGAAAAAAAACTGAAAGTAAAGTAGAGATAGACAGACAAGAGAGAAATCAGGAAGAAATGACAGTCAGGAAAAAGAGAAAGATAGGAAAGAAGAGGCAGATATGAAAAAAACGCAGAAATGAAAAACAGATAGAAAAGAGATAAATAGGAACGAAAAAAGAGATAGATAGAAAAAAGAGACAGATAGGAAAAAAGATAGGGATAGGAAAAAAGACAGATAGAAAAAAAGAGACGGATAGGGAAAAAAACTGATAGGAAAAAGAGATAGATAGGAAAAAGAGATGGGATAGGAAAAATAGAGGATAGGAAAGAAGGGACGGTTTGGAAAAAAAGACGGATAGGAAAGACTAGACAGAAAGGAAGGAAGACAAAGAATAAATATTCGAAGACATAACAGAAAATACAGATTGGAGAGAATAGACTTACAAAACACAGTAAAAAAGAGATGTACAATTAATAAGACTAGACTGATATTAATAAGAGACTGACAATTTATAAGAGACTGATAATTAATAAGAGCCTGACAACTTATAAAAGATTGACAATAAAGAAGGAGACAGTCAATAAAGAAGGAGACGGTCAATAAAGAAGGAGACGGTCAATAAAGAAGAGAGAGACAATAAAGAAGAGACAGACATTAAAGAAGAGACAGACATTAAAGAAGAGACAGATATTAAAAAAGAGACATACAATAAAGAAGAGACAAACAATAGGGAAGAGATAGACAATAAAGAAGAGACAGACAATAGAGAACAGACAGACAATAGAGAAGAGACAGACAATAGAGAAGAGACAGACATTAAAGAAGAGACAGACATTAAAGAAGAGACAGACATTAAAGAAGAGACAGACAATAAAGAAGAGACAGACATTAAAGAAGTGACAGACATTAAAGAAGAGACAGACATTAAAGAAGAGACGGACAAGAAAGAAGAGACAGACAAGAAAGAAGAGAGAGACATTAAAGAAGAGACAGACATTAAAGAAGAGACAGACAATAAAGAAGAGACAGACATTAAAGAAGTGACAGACATTAAAGAAGAGACAGACAATAAAGAAGAGACAGACAATAAAAAAGAGATAGTCAATACAGAAGAGACGGACAATAAAGAAGAGACAGACAATAAAGAAGAGACAGACAATAAAGGAGAGACAGACAATAAAGAAGAGATAGTGAATACAGAAGAGACAGGCAATAAAGAAGAGACAGACAATAAAGGAGAGACAGACATTTAAGAAGAGACAGACAATAAAGAAGAGACAGACAATAAAGAAGAGACAGACAATAAAGAAGAGACAGACATTAAAGAAGAGACAGACAATAAAGAAGAGACTGGCAATAAAGAAGAGACAGACAATAAAGAAGAGACAGACAATAAAGAAGAGACAGACAATAAAGAAGAAGCAGACAGTAAAGAACATGCGGATATAAAGAACTTGAATAAGTAATTTGAATCAATATTTGGACTAGTAATCATTAAGAGCTGTCTTAATATTTTTTACATATTAACGTTTTAATTTTAAATTTTTAACAATATTCTTTAGATGGTTATATATTAGCACATGCAAATATTTTGAATTTCTACATTTCTTGTTCTTCATTTTCTTCTTGGAGCTGTCTTAACATTATAATTCTAAATATAAGATTAATTATTCTGGAAGATTGATTTATATCAAATTTAGAAATGCTAAGTTTCTGCTGAAGTCAGGCCCTGGTTCTCACATGTTAAAAATGGTGAGTCAGACATGTTAACAACATTAATATATTATATGATATTAAGAAAAAATATTTGTTTTTTGAAGACCTCTTATAGTAGACAATCTGACCTTACAATTCCACTCAATGCCTCCATATGATTTAACAAACCATTATCATTATTCCTAGGAGAGAGCAATTTTTTGTATTGGAATCAATTGTCTTACAGGACGTTCTGGGTTGCCCAAGATGGGGCTTCTTGCAGATCTCATCTCACATAATCACATAATCACATTAAATTATATTTATAAAGCGCAATAATAAAGGGTGTGGGGGGGTACACTAAGTTAAGAGTTCATCATTATAATTGAGGAATCTTGGCTTAAAGGAAATAAGTCTTTGCCACAAACTCGTAATGTTCTGACACCTATGTATTTGCTACCCAATGTTGTAGACACCTCTGGATTTGTTTCAAGAATCTTTTTATATAACCAAGGATTTGTTTCAAGTATCTCTTTATATAACCAAGGATTTGTTTCAAGTATCTCTTTATATAACCAAGGATTTGTTTCAAGTAACTCTTTATATAACCAAGGATTTTTATATAACCAAGGATTTGTTTCAAGTATCTCTTTATATAACCAAGGATTTGTTTCAAGTATCTCTATATATAACCAAGGATTTTGTTTCAAGTATCTCTTTATATAATCAAGGATTTGTTTCAAGTATCTCTTTATATAACTAAGGATTTTTTTCAAGTATCTTTATATAACAAAGGATTTGTTTCAAGTATCTCTTTATATAACCAAGGATTTGGTTTTAAGTATCTCTTTATATAACTAAGGATTTTTTTCAAGTATCTTTATATAACAAAGGATTTGTTTTAAGTATCTCTTTATATAACCAAGGATTTGGTTTCAAGTATCTCTTTATATAACAAAGGATTTGGTTTCAAGTATCTATTTGTATAACCAAGGATTTGGTTTCAAGTATCTATTTGTATAACAAAGGATTTGTTTCAAGTATCTCTTTATATAACCAAGGATTTGGTTTCAAGTATCTCTTTATATAACCAAGGATTTGTTTCAAGTATCTCTTTATATAACCAAGGATTTGTTTCAAGTATCTCTTTTTATAACCAAGGATTTGTGTCAAGTATCTCTTTATATAACCAAGGATTTGTTGTAAGTATCTCTTTATATAACGAAGGATTCGTTTCAAGTATCTCTTTATGTAACCAAGGATTTGTTTAAGAATCTCTTTATATAAACAAGGACTTGTTTCAAGTATCTCTTTATATAACCAAGGATTTTGTTTCAACTCACTTGTCAAATATAAGTCTTCTATTTCTGTTCTAAAAGCATTTCTAGTCGAAGTATGTAAACTAAATATTTTCTATTCTAAACACCAGTATTAAAATCTTGGTATTAAAATTTTTTTGTTTTTCTTGCGATTCCTAGCAATTTGTGTTAACAACCTAAGCTTTAAAGCTTAGTATAACATAAGACCTATTAACATTTTTCTCTCTCTAGGGAGATTCATTATCCTTCAACCCCCCCCCCCCCTCATCCACTCATTCTAGCTTCCCCCCCTTTCACTCTTTCCAGCCTTCCCTACTTAACAGTTTTCTTAATGACAGCCGGAATGTAAGTGTAAATACGGTTTTTAAATAAAGAATACTGTATCATATTTGCCCCTGTTAAAAGCTTTTATGCTCCATCTGAGGAAATTGGGATTATGTAAATATATAATTCGACTAATTTTACATTTCAAACATCAGTTCTGCACAAGTTAAAATGCTTTCTGTCTAGAAAATGAATGGAATTTTTTCCTTCAAGTTTAGTTTTTTGTAGGTACTAAATATATCTTTATCATCTGTCTTCCTTTTTAGATTTGCATTCATTATATAAAATAACAATGTAAAAGTTCGTGACTTTTGGGGTTTTCACCCCAACCCCGAAACCAAAAATTTAATTTTATTTTACTTTTTAATTTTCAAGGAAGGAAAATTTTCTACTGAAAACTTCTACATGATTAGCCCCAATACTATAGTGTCAGAAGTCTTATTGATGTTTGTTCTCAGGAGAACACACGTCACACTCTTGTAATTAGTTAATCATCCCGGTATTACAATCTTTGGAAAACATTTCTCCCAGTTCAGTTTTTCTCTTTAAATGGAGCAAATTTCCATATAAATATTTATCCAAGTGCTACGGGAGTTTATGGAAATTGGTTTAAAATTGAAATATATTTTACATTTTGGTGAATTTCTTTCTAATCTGGATTTAGCACACTCTATAATCAATAAAAGGCATTTATCTCAAAAGCTTTTGTTAAAAAAATATTCAATGAACTGAAAACGTAATGTCCCTACGGCCTACATTTATGCTGCTCCATTTCAAATTTTCAAATATTTCCCTAAAAGCTCTGTCTCGTCAAGAATGATTAAGATATCCACATTTTCGCCTTGAAAATTGATTCTGTTTTCTATTTAAGAGTTGCTTTCGGATTAATGCTACAGAGACATTGAAGGAAATTGTCGGAAGCTATCATAAAGTTGGAAAAGTTATGAATCTTGGGTTTCTATGCCAGCAGTTTTAATTATGAAGAAAAACACCCCTCCTCCACCCTAAATACCCCCAGCCCCCACCAGGACAGGGTTACAAAGTTTTAAATGGATGAAGGTTTTGGTCTGATTAGCTGGTGTTGATGTATGTATCTCTGTTCAATGCAACTGTCTAAACTTTGTAGGAAACTCCTGACAGCTCAGTTGAACTGTTTTAGAACAATAAAATATTGTGAATATTTTCCCAATTAGGATCCGACATTAACACCAAGATTTTATCTAAATTAGACGTTTTCTTTGGCCAATGACACCCCGCTACTCCCTTTGGGGGCAGTGATGTGGGCTCCACCCTAACCTCTCTTTGGACTGATGGGTGACTGTTTTATTTATTTATTTATTTGGCATTCTTTTTATTACTCGCTAGGGAACCCAACTTTACCTGGAAAAAACTAAACTGTCTCTATAAAAGTCAACCAACTTTATCAAAATTTGAGAAAAATCAGTCACAGGGTTCCTGAGTTATGATCGTAGATTTAAATAGACAATCTTGAGATTAATATTTTAAATATAGATTTTATAATACAATGTTGTATTTAAAATAACAAGTTATGAATTCTATCACAACGATATAAAAAAGTTTAATTTTATGTGATATTTTAAATGTGTTTTGAACACAATAAGGAGATGAAAGATGGCCTAATATATTTGCATTCCTGTTGCCACTGTCAATTAGTGTTAGAACACTCCTCCCTTCTTTTCTTTTAAAATATTTAACTAATAAAATTTATTGAGCACTCCTGACTTGAGTATTTGTATTTTATGGGTCCGGGTTCAACCCTTTCTACCTGGATTTCACAAATTTATACCTGGAAGGAAATTGTTTAAAAAACCGAAGTGTTAACACAGTAATCACTATTTTAAACTCCCCCCCCCCTTTTTTTAGAAGTAGCAAACCCCCTTTTTTTAAAAAGTAATATTAATGTTATTGTACATAAAATCAATGAATGTGTATTCATATGGGAAACTATATTTTTTAGGCTACAGTCAGGAGCATTTCAGGAATTTATCCAGGAAGGCTTAACTTGTTTTCTCTCCATAGGGGGGCTCAGCGCTCATTGGGGCTAAAAACACCCTGAAAACAATTAATTTCACTGGCCCATAGCCCCCCCCCCATGAATACGTCTCCGGCTTCAGTCAAAACTTAATTCTCTTAGGCTGGGGGGGGAGGGGCGGGGCGGGGTCTCTTAAATATATATCCCTTGTTTTTAACTGTTCAGCTATTCATTGCTTGTGAAAAGTAATGATCTTACAAGCTTGTGTTTAAACAGGTTTTAGCATTATTAGTTTTGCAGAATTGATATAATATTGTTTAAAGTGACAGGATGAGTATGCTAGTCTGTTGCCCTTTTCTTCTGTTTACTATTGTCAATCTACATAGTTGTTTTATTAAGGGAGAGGGGAAATACAATGAGTTGTATACAACACAACCCGGAGCCAATTTCTCTGTATACGCCTTGCTAAATGTAACATTTCATTTTACATTCACTGGTCGACGTTTGTATTAATACAATAAAGACGACTTTTCTAACAAGTTATTTTCAAATGACAAGTTAAAAAACAAAGAGGAGCTGTTAATTGACAGCTTCCATTTGTTTCCATGTTAATGTGTTAAAAACTTTGCTTGTCTGTCCGTCCGTTTGTATTCAATAAACGCCGAAACGGCTTAACCGATCGGGCCCAAATTTTGTACGGGACCCCACATGATCCCAGGAAAGGTTTATGGATGCTCAGAATTACAAAAAAAGTATTTTTTGAAAACTTTTGAAAATCCACGAAAAGGATAATGTTAAATCCGGGAAATTTTTTTGATATCTATATATATAATTTGGCTTGTCTGTCTGTTTGTTTGTATCCAATAAACGTAAAAACGGCTGAACCGATCGGGCCCAAATGATTGTGGGATCTCGCGTGACCCCAGGGAAGGTTTATAAATGATAAAAATCAAAAGAATTTATGCTTATAAGTTTTTATTTTTGTAAAATATTTTATATTCTTGAAAATTCTCAATTTTTTTTATAAAATCCGCAAAAAAAAATTTTCTTCGTTTTTCAATGTTTCAAGGCGAACATGTTCACAATTGACAAGAAGATGGGCACGAAGCGCCCTAAAAGTCAGTTGTTTTCTATTGTACAAAACGAAGATCCTCACAGTTTGAGGAAAAGATATAAATAGTGACAACTTAAGGAAATCATATTCTTTGGCTATCGATAAAATAGTGAGTGGGCGCGAAGCGCTCTAAATGACAAGTACAAAAAGAATTAACTCGTGGAAATCATATTTTTTGGCTATCGGGGGAAAAGTTTTTTATCTATTTTTAAATCTTAAAAGTTTCTCAGAACTTTTTACCATTTAATTATGTTTCCCTTCTATAAAGGTCTTATTTACTTACTCACACAATAGATTATTCCTAAAT